TCTCCTCATATATACACCTTTTTGAATTATTTTACTCAAGTCCATACATAGTTTTCTGCAGCAGAAACTGTTTTGAATACATCTGCTTGCACACCTTTAAGAGCTGAAAAGTTAGTAATCTTTAAAAAATTATTAGACCTGACAGAAAATATTCCACTGAGACTTTCTTTCTCTTGTTTTCTTTAATGGAACAACTAAGAGCATGCAAACACATAAGAACTTAACTATGTTTAACCCTCTACAAAAGAAAAGCCTTAAAATTCTGCCTGTGAAAGCATGAGAATCCTATACACTTCGTTTTTATATACATGCATATATATATATATAACCAGAAGTTTTGGCTCATCCTCTTTACAAGCAATTAGTTATTTGAGCCTTTTGATGAAATGATCTATGTAAGATCAGTGTTCCAGAGTCTCGGTGCCTTAATAGATATTTAATTATATCTTTTGGGTAGGTGCCAAAGTGATGGATGGAGTTATCACAGATTACATTTTCTCCAAGTCAAAACACCATCTTTTCATACGCTAAGCAGCACCAAATTGGCCAAGTAATAGTTAAGTGGTTTTATAAGAAAGAAGCTGATACAAGCAAAACCCTAAAAAGTACTGAGTTTGTATTTGCCTTTTGGGAGGACAGTGCAGAGTCCAAATGCTTGAGGAGCTGAGGTTTAAAATATAATCAGGTCAGAGATATTGTATTGGGTATTTCTGGTGCAAATCAAAGGGAATTGAAAGAGCTCAATTAATCCTTCTGTCCCAGCATGATGGCTCTCCCACAAGCAGAATCTAATGGGCCAGTGTTTGTTTCACTAAGGTGGTATCTTTTTAATGGCCAGTTCACAGCCACTGCTCAGGATGTGCAGGAAAGCCCATGAAACACAGATTATTTTGCATGAAATTGTAGTTAAGCTGTGGCAGAAGGTGTATGCTACCCAGGGAACCTGTCTTCTCATCTTTGAGGACGTGGCTCCTTCCTTGCTATAACCACAGTTCTCCTAGATCTAGAGTCAGGACTGCACAATGCTTTATTTCAGGAAGGCTCATTCTGCCTTAAAAACATGCAAATTAGTTAATCAGCACTGTAAGTTGGACAGCCAGTTATAAGCTTTTTTACATACTCCGTGACTGTCTTGCACTGTCCGCATGAGACAGACAGATCTAACTAGGATAAAAAAATCTGACCTAAGGCATCAAAGACATCGCTGTTGATTGAAGTGAGACTGGAGTGTCAGAAGGAGTCTGAGGTGGGAGGAAGGCTACAATAGCTGTCCCCTTAGCTGGTGTCATGTCATTGAGCATGAGAAAAAAGCCTAGTTTGCATACAGCCCTTTGTATAGGCACACTGTAGACTTTGAACTGGAAGAATTTCCTTTATCTGCCTCTCCCTTATTGTAGGCTCTGCAAAGTCACAGTCGGTAATGGAATCCCTGAAAGAAATTCCAAAGGGAGAAAAATTCCAGCATATTTTTGTTTGTATTCATAGACAAAGACAGAGACCAAGCAGGCCATATGGTCTAACTTTGATGTCTCTCATCCATCAAACCAGTTAGTCCCTCTAGTACTTCATATACAAATCAGAATAACCACAGGCTGGGCAGACATGAAGCTTCCTGCCCAGGAATGTTCATGCTGCAGAGGAGCAAATCCTAGCAGTGGGCAGCAAAAGTTAAATACTCAAACAGAAGTGGGAAATGTGGGGCTACACTTGTCATTTGAAGCATTTAGTTTTTTTAAGAATGACTGAGAAGAAATGATGGTCAAATGTCTTTCAGGTATACAGCTCCACTGACAGCCCTGGTTTGTGCCACTGTAGTAAAGAATAGCCTTCTAATTATACATGCTAAGGAGTGCAACAGAAGGCTTTGCTCGTTCTTACCGAAACTTAAAGAAGGCCAAATAAAAAGTCTGTTTGTTTCCAAATGAGAGGGGCTTTCTTGTCATCACACGTGGGACTCAATAGCAGAACTGCTACTAATTTTTGCAATTATGATACTATCATTTTACCTGGAATTTCTTAGAGGACCCCAACTCTCAACTTACCTTCTCATATAGAGGAATTACATATTTTGAAGCAGTTCATCAAGACAGAACCTACTTTTCTTTTGTTGTGTTCCCAACACAAGATTAAAATCAAAACCAGGTGGGAATAAGCTCCAATAAATTTGTTTATAGATGCCTTCATTTGATATTTTGCATGGTATATCCCAATAATATTTTTTCCAGGAATTGGGAAAATAGTATGAAGTCAGAGTTAAAACTGAAAATGGACTAGATGACCTCTGGAGGTCTGTTCTGATTTAAATCATCCTATTCTAATGATTTCTTCCATGAAGTTTGTGTTCTGCCATACACATTCAAAACACAGATGAAGAATCTGTGTTTTAGCTTTACTCATGTCCTTTATCTTCTCACCCCAAAAGCTCTATCAAAACTAGCAAGAGTGTTGATGCAGTGAAATCCAACTCAAGGTAAGAGTGCCACAGAATCCAAGATTTGCTGTTATATGCAGTTATGCATATTTGTGCACCAGTCTCTGTGTTTGGAGATTGGCAAGATGAAAGCAGGTGTGTTACCTTTCAGTTACTCTGTGACTAAACACATTTCCCAGTTTGCCATGGGTTTGTTATGACTGCTAGCCATGACTACAGCAGAGGGACTTCTTTTGGGTTTGATCCAAAATACATAGAAATTGATGGAAAAATGCCCATTTCAAAAGGTATTCCAAGAGAGTTTTTTGTTCCTGTGCAGTACGAATAATATTCTATTCTATTCTATTCTATTCTATTCTATTCTATTCTATTCTATTCTATTCTATTCT